CATAGACCACTTCCGGATGTATGCAGAGAAAACAGCAGAGCCTCTCTTCGAGTGCAAGCTGCTACGCACCTATATGGATTTGCTTTTAAGGTCCCATTTTCTGTTTATAGAAAGCCCCTTGGAAACTCTGCAGGAAATTGTCAGACTTGTTCTGGCAGAGCATGCGGGCCAAGTCCCAGAAAAGGCTTTGGCGCTGGTGCGGAAGCTCACTCTTAGCTGGTTCATCTATATGCTGACCATGGGCCAGACCATGGGCCACGCGGCTGTTATCCAAATTTACCATATTGTTGAGCCAGCCCACTTCGAGAGACATTGAAGAACTTCGCAAGTTTTGGGTTGCAGCGTAGTTGACCAAAAAAGTTGAGCTTATGCAGGGCATGGAGGCTGTTCTTGTGGCGAATGGCGGAAGAAAAAAGTTTGAGGTGCTGCTGGAGGCATTGCAGACCATAGAAAGAAACATAACCGGATGATCCAGGGCACTTCTATGCATACGCTGGCACGCAGCCACATGGCTGCAAAATAAAGCAAAGCCAAATTTCTACGTTGTTTATGAAAAGCAGTCTAAATGCGCAGGCATGCGCTTCTTTATTTACCTTAAAAGCATGGGGGGCGAAAGGATGCGCGCCTGTTGCTGCTGGCCAACCAAAGCCGTGCCAATTTTCTATAAGCTCCCACGCCCTTGCCCTGGCGCAAAACCGCGGCAGACAGGCCCTATTTCCACGCGAAAGACTTAAGTATATGCAGCACGCCTTGAAACACGGCTTCTTCGCCAGGCATCTGTAGAATGGCGTTTCGATGCTCCTCCATAGCTTTAAGCATCCCAAAGGCTGTTTTTTTGTCTATAAAAAACGTGTGTTTGCCGGCATTGTATGCCTGTATTGTGTGTGGGGAAACCCTTCTGTACAGAGAAAGCACTAGCTCGTGCGGAGTGCTATCATCTTGCAAGCTGCAGAGAAACAGAGAGAGATCAAAGAGCGCCTTTACGCGCAGCGCCTTCTCCTGGTCTTTCTCCTCCACGTCGAGAAGGAGAGTGCCAATTTCGTCTATGCGGCGTGTTGTGTTGCCTGCAAGCAAAGGGCCAAACAAGTACGAAACACCCCCAAAGCTATTGATTGTGCTGCACAGGAAAAGAGGCTGGCGCGCCTTGTCCTTGTATGCTCTAAAGTGCTTCATAACAACATCAGCAGCGCGCGCATAGTCTTTTCCAATGTAGCCCACTATTTTGAGGGCAGCGAATGTGTTTCTATAGATTTTTGCGCGTCTTTCCTTTGACAGGCTGACTTTTGGGCACAGCTCGCCCAGCAAATTCAGACAGACTGCGCTTTGCAGCAGATACCCCTGTGTTACGAAGTCGTCCAATGGGAGACTTCCCAGCAGATTCGAGATGAGGCGCACGCCCGGGTGCTCTCGGGTCAGCTCGACCATGCCTTCTGTTGTATACCGCCAGAACATCTCGATGATTTCACATGTCTGCTCGTATTTCAAGACTGGCCCCAGTATAAAAAGCCTGTTTGGCTGCTTAGAACCTCCATCCACAGCTAAGCGCTCTATGGCCCCCCGAGTGTCTTCAGTATGTTTAGACTCACAGTACTCCGTGCCCCTGGCCCTGGCCCTCCACGCGTCTGCATAGCTGGCAAACACGCACTCAGCAAAGGTCTTGGGCTGTATATGGCTGTTCACCGCAAATAAGGCCTTTTTTTCTTCGTCCGTAAGAGAAAGGAAGACGCACGGACACAGGGCGACTTTTAGATGCCCGGGCTGAAAGGCAAGGCATATGCCCTGTTCTATCGCGCTGTCTTTTTCTGTGTACTTCAGAGTGATTTCTCCGTAGAGGTCTTTCTGCCCGTCGCTTCGGGTGCCGACCTTCAAGTCAAAAAATTCCACTCGTAAGCTCTTATCCACGGAGAGAGACTCGAAAAGCTTTGCCACGTACTCCTGTATTTTTTCAAAAACATCTCCATAGGTCTCGCCAATTTTGCAGCCTTCTAGCATCAGTGCAAGCTCGCGTATTCTCGGCTCCTCCTCTTCCTGCCTGCCCGTCACCTCTGCGACAACGTAGAGAACATTGAAAATTCCGGAGCGCACCTCGTTTCTGCTCTCCCTTTTGTACGCGATGTGCTCGCTCTGCAGGCCAGACACGACGCGGTTCCACTCCTGCATTGTCTCTTTGGTGGCGCACGCCTTTGGGGTGACGCCCTTCAACTGGAAGAAGGCGCGCAGAGCCTTTGCTTCCTTGTGCCCTTTTGCCTCGCCGAGCATGGCGTCCGCGTCGTACTTATTCTGGGCTGGGTCGTGTGCAAGGCAGCAGAAGAGCGCAAACAGGCCGGCCTCCACGCAGTTGCTGAAGGTTTCGTCCAAAAACTCTGTTTGGCCTCTCTTACAGGCATGCACGCTTGTGTACGCCGGCAGCATGCTTGGGCTGGTGAACGGGAACGAGTCCAGATTCTTCATGGCTTTCTGAATCATCCTAAGCTGGTGCAGAAGTTCGTCTTCCTCGGCCTTGCTCTCCACAAAACACGCGCTGTATACGTCTTTCCTCTCATTTTCCGGCAGGCTTGTGAGGATGGCGTGCGCGCACGCTGCGAAGTCCAGGGCGTCGTCCTTGCTCGTGATGTACTCAAAGACGTACGCCTGGATGAGAAACTGCGGCGTGTTTAGAAAGTCGCCGGTGTTGAAGTCGCTTTGCGTGCACGGCAGTTTTCCTTTGCCTTTGCTGTCTTTGAAGAAGTTTATGACCTGTGCGGCCTTTTTGCACAAGTCTTTTTTTGTTTTAAACCCCACTGTGCTGCTTTCCTTTCCCACAGTTTTTCTGTGCTCTGGCGGCAAGTTGCCAAGAATGCTTGTTCCCAGTGTGATCTTTTTCTGTGTGGCCTCGATGGGCACATTGACGCCCTCGCTCAGCAGGAGGAGCGCAGCCAGCACGTAGTGCGCGTGCTGTTTGGTGGGCATCCCCTGCAGAAACTGGAAGAAGGAGTCATCTCGGGCGACAGCGACCGATAGGGTGTGCCCGTCGACAGACGGAAACATCTCGATGAGGATGCGGTGGTACTCTTCGGCGTAGTTTTTGCGAGCAGGCTTGGAGCTCAGAGCGGGCCCCTCTGCAGGCGGATAGGGCTTGTCGTTCTGTGCGCTTCTTGTGTATTTGTGCTCCATTGTTTTTTCAACATCTCCAGCGGGCTCCACTTTGTAGTCAGTTTCTATTTCAGGAGCAAAGAAGCGCTTGTTGTGCATGTATCCCTGCTCGGAGTACACGAGCCCGCGCAGCAAGCAGAGTGGCCCCCTCGGGTTGATGAAGGCGCGGCCCTCTCCTATTTCAGTGCTTTGCATCTCCATGACCTCGTCAAACGACACCCGCGCAAGCGCGCAGTGCAGCAGCGCTGCAATTGCAAGTGCATAACATTTTGCGTTCATGATCAGGGGTAAAAAACGGTTTTTATATATACGTTGCAGATGAGCCCCCTTTCCGGGCGGGCTGGCCTATCAGAAGAAGACGCCAGCAGCTCACCATTGGAAGCCCTGGATGCAGAGCAGCCGGGCGCTGACTGTCTGCCTTCTTTCCATGCGGCAGCGAAGCGTGCCTGCTCGGCGAAAGTGCCAAAAACCGGAGTAGACCTTTAGCCCATGGCCATTTATTGCTGAAGTGG